GAAACGCAAGAAGCCTTTGCTGCACGCAGCTGCCGTCTCTATTAAGTCTGTTTGCTGCTGCTGCTGCTGCTGCTGCTACTGCTGCTGCTGCTGCTCTTGTCCACACTGTTGCTGCTGCTTCACCTTCAGCGTTTGCTGCCGCTGCTGCTGCTGCATGTGCGGACTTGTTCGCCGCTGCGTCACCCCCTCCACTGCGGCTGCCCTTCCTGTTGCCACACCCGCTGCTGCTGCTGCTGCTGCTGCTGCTGCTACTGCTGCTGCTGCTGCAGGCTGTTTCGTTTGCTGCTGTACCTGAGGACTCTGCTGGAGTGGCTGCCCCAGGCCAATCCCCACGTGCCTCCCTTTGCCTTTATCTACGGCGCAACCTCCCTCTACACTCGGCTCTTCTCCGTAAACCCTAAACCCTAAACCCTAAACCCTAAACCCTTGCGGCGCATGCGGGGTCCGGAGCCCCTGGTAGTCAGTAAACCCTAAACCCTAGCCCTTAAAATCTTGCAGCACAGCCCGGCTCTTGACTTGGGCTGTTAGTCCCAAGTGAAGGGTTTTCGAGAACATCAAACCCTAAACCCTAAACCCTAAACCCTAAACCCTCGTTTAGCCCTGAGCCAAACTGCATCCCCAAGCCGTAAACCCTAGTCCTTCATCATGACTAAAACCCCCTTTTGCCCTTATGTCCTTTATCGTGGATCGCCTCTGTTTAATCCTGAGGGTTTAGGGCTTAGGGTTTAGGGTTTAGGGTTTAGGGTTTAGGGTTTACACCGCAGGTGGCGCTGGGCAGCGTTTACTTGGGGGACTTGAGTGGACTTTGTTCTTCGATTTGTCTCGAGGCCATTGAGAACAAAGTTATGAATTACCTGCAGCAAAGCTAGTTGCTGCTGCTGCAGCAGCACCGGCAGCAGCAGCAGCAGCAGCTGCTGCTGCTGCTGCAGCACCGGCAGCAGCAGCAGCAGCAGCAGCCAGGGAGGGGCTTTTCGCGTCTACTGAGTGTCTTTTTGCTTTTCAGTTTTAAGCAGAAAGGCCTAAGCTCCAATGTCTTGAACTTGGGGCTAGGGTTTAGGGTTTAGGGTTTAGGGTTTGCAGTCGAACAATTTGAAATGCTTTCAAGTTTCTTTTCAGAAAAGAGCAACTTCTGCTGCTGCTACTGCTGCTGCTGCTGCTATACCTCCTGTGAGTTCCTCCGCTTTCGGGACTGCTGCAGCTGCTGCTGCTGTCTGTACGGTTGCCGCTGCTGCTGGCTTTGCAGCCGTTGCCGCTGCTGCCTTTTCTGTTGCTGCTGCTACTGCTGCATTTGCTGCTGCTGCTGCTGCTGCTGCTGCTAGTGAATGATGGAAAGCATCAGCAGCTGCCACGGAGCCCCAAATTAGCTGGAATAAAGGAAATAAAAAGCAAAAATAAGAAATAAAAGATAAAAATAAAAAATTTATTATATAATTTAATTCCTTTGTATGCTGTCTATACACTACATTCATCCATTCTCTAAGGAGGCCTACTTCATCCATTCTCTAAGGAGGCCTACTTGCTGCTTAGCAGCAGCAGCAGCAGCACCAGCAGCACCAGCAGCAGCAGCAGGTGCAGCAGCAGCAGCAGCAGCAGGTGCAGCAGCAGCACCAGAAGCAGCAGATGCAGCAGCAACAGCAGCAACAGCAAATAAACGAAGACAGCATTAATACTCAGGTGGGCCCCAGGAGTCTTTGTGGGGCCAAAAGAGAGCAGCAGCAACTTCTGCTTCAGCAGCAGCTCTTTTTGCTGCCGCAGGCAGCAGCAGCAGCAGCCGCTGCAGCAGAAGCGACAGCAGTTGCTGCTGCTGCTCTAACTCATTACAGCTAGCCCAGTGAGCCTTGGGGGCCCCTCTTAACAGCTCGAGGGGCCTCCGGGGCCCCCAAGTTCTCAAGGAGCCCTTGGGGGGTTTAGGGAAAAGAAAGAAGGGGATAGATGGATGCAGCGGGGGGGCCCCTGTAGGAAGACCCCTTAATAGGGTTTAGGGTTTAGAGTTTAGGGTTTAGGGTTTGGGGAGTGTGGCGGATCGTACTGGGTGAGCTGCTTGGCTCAGTACACACATGGCTGTAAAACCGTAAACCCTAAACCCTAAACCCTAGCCCCTTCAAGAAAGGCACGCATAACTTTGTCCGCAGCTTCAGTTTTGCTTAAAGCCTTAAACCCTAAGCCCTAAACCCTAAACCCTAAAAGTAACCGTTAGTGTGCGCTGAGGGTTTACAGCCCCAAGGTGACTAGCACGTCGGCGGACAGGGTTTAGGGTTTAGGGTTTAGGGTTTACAGTTAGCGGTTGAGGAATCGTCATCAATTTACTAAATAGGCATTAAGCAGCAACACTAAAGCAAGGTGAACTAAGACCAAGAGAAGACCCCCGTCGCAGCAGCAGCAGCAGCAGCAGCAGCAGCAGCGAGGAGGACAAAGCCAGGCACTGGCGATCTGCCGCTCCCCTCTCGTGTTTGTTCTTTAAACTTCATTAGCAGCTGCACCTTAGCTTTTCGAAGGCAAAGAAGCAGCAACTCGTTGGGTTTGCGCAGCATATCCGCAGCAGCAGCAGCAGCAGCAGCAGCGGCAGCAGCAGCAGCAACAAACCGCGCCTTCGCCCCAACTTTGCTGCCAGGGGCCCCCGTAACCCCTCTCTGCTCTCCCGGGCTCCTCTGTGGGGCCCCTGTGTGCGCCCGTACCCTCTAGAGCGCCCCCACCGGGCAGCAGCAGCAGCAGCAGCAGCAACAGCAGCAGGAGCCGCCGCAGCCGCAGCAGGCGCCTCCGCCGCGGCCTCAGCAGCAGCAGCAGCAGCAGCGGCAGCAGCAGCGCGCCGCGCGAAGACCCCGAGGAGGCCCCGAGGCCCCAAGAAGCCCAGGGGGCCCCCAAGTCTGCTGCAGCAATGGAGGGGCCTCGGGGGCCCCCCGCTGCTGGGGGCTGGGGTGTACGTACAGGGGCCCCCCCCCCGCTGGACCTCGAGTGCGAGTACCTGCTGTCTCCGCAGCTTCACTTTCCTTCTTTTGTGTCTCCGTTTATCCTGGGGGAGACTCTGGAGCAGCTGCTGCGGCTGCTGCAGCTGCTGCAGCAGCCGCAGCAGCTAAGGGCCAACAAGGCCCTCTTGGCTTTCGCGCTGCAGCTCGCCAGGGCCTTCGACTCCACAGCCCTCCTCGAGGCCCTCAGCCCTCGCGACCATTTGCTGCTCATCTTGGGCTGGAAGAGGGTACTCCTGTGGCCCCTCGCGGAGGGGCCCCCCGGGGGCCCCCC